AGGGATGATTTTAGAAGCAATTTTAATTGGAAACACAGCCGTCAATATTTGGTTTTTAATTCGGTTTTTATTGGGGTTTATATTGTTGTATTTTTGTATTTTTTGTATATTGTGTATAGTATCTGTTTTTTAAATATGCTGTGAACCGCCCTGAGTCCTATGGGAGAAGGGCGGTATATAAATTAAATTTGAATGAATTAATGAATGAATGAATCTCTTCAAGGCTATGCACAATATGCTATTACATCTGATTTGTTCAAATAGAAAACCCTTTTTTTTTTTAACTACAGGCAAGCTGGAAAAAGAAAAGGCCAAGCGTTTGATCCATAACTACAATCAAATTTATGACCTGTGCCTTAGTCCTCTAAAAATTGATAAAGCGTTTCGGCCTTTTCGTTATGGCCAAGAGCTGCCACTGGAACCCTTACTACAATACTTGAAGGAGCTTTAATCTCTACTGAGAGAGAGTTCTTGCTAATTCAATACATAAGCATTCCTACTTTTAATTTTCAACTGTAATAAAATTATACGTATGCATACTGTAAAAACAAAGTTCTCTTCTGAGTAATACTTTTAAATAAAGCTTTCTGTGTGAACAAAGTCTGGATTTTATGTATCACCAAATTTGACAAATTTTTAAAATTTGTTTTGGAAAACACATCTCCACAGCAAAGAATTACTATTCATGTCCTCTGTTTGCTTCGTTATTTGTAATGATAGAACTCAGTTCAATCATCCCAAAAGTAGCAAAATAGTTGTAGGAATTTGTTTTGAAAATTCATTTCCCAAATGGCAGATTCATCCAGAGGAATTTTCTAGATGAAGATTCAGGTATGCCTGCAGTGTATGGTAAGAAATTCAAGATGGTGGTCACAATGCTGAGAGCAAAGCTCTGAATATATTTTTTATGTGAAATGTTCGTGTGATACACATTAACAACAGGGAGAGTTTAAATCACACTGTGGACCTCTTGATTTAAGAATAAAATGGGGTTTCTGTAACTTAGCTCCTAATATCAAAATACAGGTAGTATTTATATCTGGATGCTTGACAAGTGGTTCATATTTATGACCACTGCAGTATCCCGGGGTCATGTGATCCCCTTTTGCGATCTTCTGACCAGCAAAGTCAATGGGGAAGCCAGATTCACTTAACAACCGTATTACTAACTCTGCAATGATTCACTTAAACATGACAAGAAAAGTCATTAAATGGGGCAAAACCCACTTAACAAATTTCTCACTTAGAAACATAAATTTCGGGGCTCAATTATGGTAGTAGGGTAAGTTGAGGACTATCTGTATACAAAAATGTTTATTATAGAAATAGGTTACTTTAAAAAAAAGTAGAGGTAATAAAATGAGGAATGATCATTATAAGGATGGATGGATTCTCCTCAGTTGCTGCTCTCCAGATTGTCATCTTGGCATTCTCTAGCTTACAGGACTCCGGAGTTTGGCACTAAGTGGTGCCTCAGCAGCATGTGCCAGAAGATCCTATTGTTTCACTTACAATAACACGAGAAAATTACTCACTGTGTGCTGAGCCCTTGCTCGAGGGTTCTAAATACAAGCATGAAAATGTTTACCACAGCCTTGACCTCGAAATGGACCCCAACAAAACGGGTCCATCATGAAGGTCAAATTTATTTTTTAATATGAATACATTTGAGGAAGATCTGAAAGCCTTGAAAAGAGTGGGGCCATTTTCCAGAATTCATAGCACTGTGGGAAATTTGGAAAGCTTTGCTACTGTGTGACAGCAATGAAGTAGCAATACAGTATTAGAGCTGGGAAACGTGTTAATGCTTGATGCCCTGAGAAACAAGTGTTTATGTACCTCATAAATATCTTAATATATTGGAGTTTTTTTTTAAACCATGAGTTATATGCCTGATATAGTTGTATTATAAATTTCAAGAGTGAACTATTCCTTCCCTGTAGCTTTAAGGAAGTGAAGATTTTTCCATCTGTGTATCCTGCTTTCCCATCTGTTCTCAAAGTCTGACACTTGTGTTCAATATGTTTACAAATAGCAATTTTTAAAAGGAATTCCAATAGTGAAACTATTTGCTTTCTAAAATAGAAGGAAATAGAAGTTATTTCCTCGTGAGGAATGTTCCCAAACTGAGGAATAGGTTAGGTACAGAGTATGAGAGAGTGACCCTTACTATATATTTATAGGTATATTTAAATTCAGGACTAAAATAATCAAATTAAAAATATTTTTAAGTCAGTCCTATAATTCCTCTGGCTTAGGTATGGCCAGTTGACTTCCCAAAGTTTCAGGAAGACTAATATAGGCCCTTTTTTCAAATTAAAACATGTGTAACAATCTAATCTGTTCTATCAGCTACCTTTTGAACAAACAAAGAAATACTGTGAGGCAGGGATAGAGGTGTCTTGCTATGGAACATATTCAATCAACAGTAATTGGTCGCGCTACTACTTGATTTATACAGCTCTGATTAAAATCCAGGTTTGAAAAGAATTTGGGGCTTATAATATTCACTGTTTTATTCCCTGAGATCCTAAAATATAGTTCCTACCAATAAAACCACTTTAGAGTTTGGTTTGCTGCAGTGGTTAAGGTGTCCTAGGAATGAGAAGACTAACCTCAGCCATAGAAGGTCACTGAAGGACATCAAGTCATTCACTCTCTCCCAGCTCAACCCATGTGGTTCAGATAAAATGGAGATTTTCATGTAAATTGATCCTGGCTCAAGCTGTTGGAGAAAAGATGGGGTATAAATCTAACGAATATATTAAGGCCTCCATGTCTAGTATACAAGATTGCCCAATAATTTAGCTCTTGAAACTTCCTCTCAGACTTTGGATCAAAAGCTGTTGCAGATCGTGGTAGGGGAAGGAACAGAGAAAGGCAACATATATTACTTCTGTGCCAAGAAATGGAATATTCTCCTCCCCATTTCAAATATGTAGAACTCCTGCTGTTGATATAAGCCAAACATCTGCTCTGGCTGTTCAGAATTCCTTAGCAGCCGTCGCCCTCCTGTTCATCACCAGCATTAGGATTTAGAATAATTGCGGTGCCAAAAACACCCCTTCTGAAACATGTGAAAAGTCCAGTTGCATTTCGGGCTGTCTACTCAGGCCCTGCAGATGTTAGCGTACCCACAAATCATCTGCCTCCCATTTTGCAATTTAAAGATGCCTCAAAAAGTAAGATACGTTGTTCCTAAAAAGTTCCACATTCTGTTCTCTCTGTCAACCCATCCTTTTTAATGCCAATGATTCATTAGCAGCCTAATAGGCGTCTCACACTACATGGTGTGCCCGTGCCAGAAGGGCATATGTCCATGGCCATGTGCTTGAGACAGATAAGTACATAAACAGCATATTGGCACCAGACAGACATCTGTGCCTGGAAAAATGCATATGATATATACGTGAATGACATTTTAACTTTAATTAATCCACGGAGCTTTGAAAAGCAAGCTCAGCTCATCTTTTCAGTAAATATCAGCAAGATGCTTTTTTCTTTTCTCCCCCCCTCCCCCCAGCAATATGTCTGCAATGTTTGAAAGCTACATTAATAAATTTAGCCTGCAACTTCAGATAGGTAACTCAATGTGAAATACCTACAATTATGTCTCAGGTAGTGAATGTTGAATTGAATAAACTGCAAAACAGATAATAGAACTTCTGTGTAGAAAAGCTAATCAGCCAGCTCTCAGTGGCTATCCCAAAAGATGAACAGGTTCAGATTTACTCAGTTCTGGTCCCTTCAAACGTCTCTGCAACAGGGCAGAAAGCCCAAGTCATGAACATTAGCGATGCCTATATGGCTCCATAATTGTGTCTTCCCCCCCCCAACATTTGACACAATTCCATGGGTCATTTTCAGTAAACATTAGTATTGGACGGTGCTAATGTTGAAGATGAGAGATAATTTTTGTCTAATGGTTGAGGCACCGGATTAGGAGCACAGAAACTTAAGTTCTAATTTTATTTTAGACACAGAAACCAGTGGGATGATTGTGGCCAGTTGCTCATCTTAGCTCTGGGAAGAATTCAATAGCAAATGCTGCCTTGAAAATTGCATGTGTATTCACCAGGAGCAAAATCTTACTTGAAGGCCCAAAAAACCCCCAGAATAAAGCAAAAATATACAGTACAGATAGTCCTTGACTTACAACCATTTGTTTAATGATCATTCAAAGTTATAATGGCACTGAAAAAAGTGACTTATGACCGTTTTTCACACTTACGACCATTGCATGTTCATGTGATCAAAATTCAGACACTTGGCAACTGGCATGTATTTAGGACGGTTGCAGAGTCCCGGAGTCATGTGATCGCCTTTTGTGACCTCCTGACAAGCAAAGTCAATGGGGGAGCCAGATTCACTTAACAATTGTGTTCCTAATTTAACAACTGCAGTTATTCACTTAATAACTGTGCAAGAAAGGTCATAAAATGGGGCAAAATTCATTTAACAACCATCTTGCTTAGCAATGGAAATGTTGGGCTCAGCCATACATCAGGGACTACCTGTAGAGCAGCGGTTCTCAACCTATGGGTCGAGACCCCATTTGGGGTCGATCGACCATTTCACGGGGGTCGGCAAGCAAGGCTGTCCGCCATTTTTTTTTCCCTTTTCCGGCGGGTGCCTTACCTCCCTTGGGCTGGGCCAGCTGGTGGTCGGCCTGCTCCGTCTCTGCCGCTTGCCAGCTACGCCTCGGCCGGCGCAGGGGGCGGAACCACGCATGCGCGGCGCTCCCGGGCAGGAAAAGTCCTCGACTTACGACCGGTTGGGTAGTCCTCGACTTACTACCGGTTTAGTCCTCGACTTACGACCGGTTTAGTCCTCGACTTACGACCGGTTTAGTCCTCAACTTACAACCGGTTGGTGGTCGCGGCATTAAAAAGGTTGAGAACCACTGGTGTAGAGGATAGTTGAAGATAGCTGCTTCCCTCTAATTTGAAATTGCAATGAACTAAATAATAATAATAATAATAATAATAATAATAATAATAATAATAATAATAATAATAATAATAATAATAATAATAATAATAATAATAATAAAGTACCAAAATGCAGAGGCACTTTCAGATGTTTAGCCCTTTCTTGAGGGAGGGGACATGACTGTTGCTCTCTGCTTTGTTCTATGTTTTTTTTTTTCTGCTAGAAACCAGCTCTCAGTTTTGGAAAGAAGGCCGACGTTGACCTTTTCAGTGGCTTGGTGGCCTAAATCAGCACCGAAGAACTGAGATCCATCAACTGTTGCTCAACAGACCACCCCCCCCAGGGGTGGTATAACCAGTAACTGACTCGCTACTGGAATAATTTGCTGATCTTTTCTTCCCAGTGTTTACCAGTATCAGAATTTTTCAAAAGGAGGATGGGGTAATCAAGTAAGGAAATAAAGAAGAGAGAACATTTATTATTTTCTCCTCAATGGTAACTAAACTAAGACAAAACAGAACTTGTTATTTTATTAATACGTTTGTTTGTATTAATGCCTGGAAACAATCCTATTTCAGACACTTACTGAATCAGCCAGAGTACACATAAGGAGAATAGCTAATTTTAATAATATTTTTGTATGCACATTGTAAGCCTTTTTATA